ACAAGACTTTGTAAACTGTCCCGACATTGATTCCGGTTAGCTCCTTTATGGGTCCGGCAAGACTCTGTAAACTGTCCCGACATAGATTCCGGTTAGTTTCTACAAGGGTCCAGCAAGACTCCGTAAACTGTCACAACAACTGTCACAACATTGTCTGCTACAACGGTCCGACATGACCCCATAAACTGTCTTCTACATCGGTCTGACACAACCATCCAGTGTCCTCTACAACGTTATGACACCACCATCCAGTGGACCTGAATCGGCTTCATTAGCGGTGGGAAAGCCACGATTCTTCTCTTCTTGTTTGCTGCTTTTCCAGTTTACAGGTTTGCCATGGATCTTCTAACACGTTTCGCGTGTATGGCGAGGCTTGTTGCAAAAATCACACCAGACCCGTGGCTTATCATCAAACCTGCGCTGGTAATTTGCAGCCTTGTTGGCCGCAGCATCGCTAATTAAAGCAGAAATTTCAATTGATTCACCAGTACCTTTTTTCTTAAGCATGATGCTCCTTCGGCTCTCTTCCCTTCTGACTTTGGCAAATACTTCGCCAATGGATGGGAGAGGAGGTCTGCCAATAATTCTTCCTCGCACTTCATCGAACTCAATGTTGAGGCCGGCAAGAAACTTGTAAATACGGCTGTCTTCCACAGTTTTCTTGTGGTGGTTGCAGTCGTCAACCGATTTCCATTCGTATGTGTTGAAGATGTTAAGATCCTGCCACAACCTTTTCAACGAATTGAAATATTTGGTGACGGAATCATCTCCTTGACGAATCTCTCCCAACTTCAAAGTTAATTCGAAAACTTGAGATTGATTTCCTAGGTCAGAATATATCTGACTAACATTATCCCACAATTCTTGTGCAGTAGTATAGCACATGTAATTAGAGCTTATATCCTCCTCCATGGAATTGACCAACCATGTCATAACCATGGAGTTTTCAGCGTCCCAACTGTCGAACAGCGGATCATTAACATCAGGAGCCTTCTTGTCACCAGTGATGTAACCGATCTTTCCTTGCCCACGGATATACATCCGGACAGATTGTGACCAGCGGAGAAAATTATCACCATTTAGGCGGATGGTGGTGATTTGGACAGAGTGAGAGTTGGACGTTTTCACCGGAATGGCAGCGGCAGGGGTTGAAGTGGTCTATGACGGTTTTAGGGCTGCTGTGTTTTTGTAGCTCTGATACCAACTTAGAAAATATGAGGAAGAAGAACTCCGAAAATATGAGGAAGAAGGAATATATTTCTGTTATATTCAAAACTTCTTATTTTACAAGACCAAATGACACTCCTTATATAGGAGATATTACAAACATCATTATAACCCATTATATGCCACTTACATATTATATATTACCACTATCTACCACTATCATATTATATACATGCCACTATCTACCACCAACACCACTATCATATTCTATACATGTCACTATCTACCACAAACACCACTATCATATTCTATACATGCCACTATCTACCACCAACACCACTATCATATGCCACTATCTTATTATATGCATTAACACAAATTTCCAGCACTTTCAATTGCTCAAGATAGTATAATTGACTGCCTCAGTGTATTTGACATAATTGAATTGTTACTGTAGCCAGTCTTTAAGTTGCAGTGTCTTTCATTATTACTGTTGCTATTTGAAATATTTTGAGTAGCTAACCTTCTCTTCATTGTAGGTGCTTGAATTTTTTCATTTTGTCTGCACATCCGAGGACATTAACAATCTTGCCCATGCATTGATGCTGAAAGAAGCTTTGAACACTGTCATATTTCCAGTCATGGATGAGGTAATTAAGGCAGTTTGTGACATGGCTAAAGCTAATGCTCATGTTCCCATGTTTTCTCGCACTCATGGGCAGGTAGATGAATTTTTTATTTTAAAAAATAATAGATATATTTGCACTGCAATTCATGAGAGAGAGACTGCTCCATCTGATTAGTACCCTTCATACATTGGATCATCGAGAATATGCATAATCACTTAAAAATAACTAAATATGATGACTAATAGGAAGAAGTGGAGTTGATGGAAAAATTACAACTGATTGGAGGAAAATGGTTTATTTACTTCAACTCAAATTGTTGGGATATATGCTTTGTTGAGGAAAGTTGTATACTTAACCTGCCTGGCATATGGTGGTGCATGCAATTGTGTTTGAACAATGGTTTTAGAGCTAATAGAGTCATCAATAGATCACTCATTTGGTTTATTATTTTGTAGCCAGCTTCACCTACCACCCTTGGAAAGGAAATTGCAATTTTTGCTGTCAGATTAAGCAGGGAAAGGCTGGATATTTCTCAAGTTGAGATAATGGGGAAGTTTGCTGGTGCAGTTGGAAATAACAATGCACATCTCGTTGCATACCATGAAATTAAGTGGCCTCAAATTGCAGAGGAGTTTGTGAAATCTCTTGGATTAAGTTTCAATCCTTATGTGACACAGGTGTCTGTTCCATGCTCGAAATTTCTTCTCACTTCAGTTTTTATTAGATTTCTCTATAATTTTTTGCAGGCCAGAATAATTCCTAGAAATTTTATCTACACGTGTTAAGTTAGCAATCTGCAACCACATTTTAATGGCTCCTTTTGATATGCTCTCTGTTCTTTGTTGACTTGTAGAGACCAACCATCCACTACCGCGGCTGCTCTATGTATCAAAGCTAGAGAAGTCGGTAGTCTTTATTATCTATTAGTTACTCATTAGTGGACTCTCTTTCCAATTTTTTACATCCAGTCCTTGCTCCTTATTGTTTTTAGCAAATGCTTTCATAATTTAACCATGTGTTGTAGGTTAGTTGCTGCTCCAGATTATCAATGTGATAATTTGAACCACTGCTCTAATAATATTTTTTACAAACAGAATGATTATTTAGGGATATTTTTTAATGAAATTTACAGAACATTTGAACCACTGCTCCAGATTTTGCTAGTTGTTAGAATTTTTCTCATCTAATTTTAGTGGTGGTGATAGAGTGAGACATGCTTTCTGTTTTGGAAGTAAATATTTGTTTTTGTATGTTATGTGCAGCGTGACTTAACTGATTCAACAGTTCTGAGGAATATGGGTGAAGGTTTAGGGCATTCTCTTCTTGCGTACAGAAGTGCATTACAGGGAATATCAAAGCTGCAGGTAAAAAGTTAAATTGAAAAACATTGCTGCATAATTACTAACTACTTTTCACCTTGTCAACGGTAAAGGTGTAGTAGTAATTATCTGCTTATTATAGGTTGTTTTCTTATGAAAATATTATGTCACACATTATTACTCTGATATTATTAATATGATGAAATTAGCATTTGCTATTTGACTTTTATCAGGCTGCATTCTCCATTGCCCTTGCCATTGTTTACTTCCCTTTTATTATTTGACTTTTTTGTTGAACTAATTTTGCCATAGGTTAATGAAGCTTCTTTGTTTGAAGACTTGAATGAGTCATGGGAGGTGCTTGCGGAACCAATACAGACTGTATGTTCCTTTCTTCTAGTTTACATATCATATTCAATCTGAATTTTTTTTGGCCCTCTCTACAGATTTGAAGAATTAATATTGTGACTGCTAAAGAAAATCTTTTAACTGAATGCCATCAATAGCTCATATTGAATGCTAGTGACAGTGATTAACTGATTTTATTTTATCTTTCCTTCTCGACACTTGTTTGAATGAAATAAACCATTCTATGATTTTACTTCATAGGTTGATATTCATTCTTGGTAAAAACTATCAATTATGTACCCTCAGATTGCCTCTTTCTTATTTATTAGGGGGGACAGTGGGTTGGGTTTGATTGCCTCTTTCTTATTTATTAGGGTTGAAATTTAAATTTGTGAAACCTAATTTGGTTCGAGATTGAGAATTTTTAAAAAAAAAGCGCTCTAGAAGAGTTTTAATAGTTGTGGAGTTCGTATGTGATGTGATGTGTGTGTGTGTGTTTTTTACATGAGGGAGTAGGTGCTGCTAACACAACTTGGGACTCTAGAGCTTCTCCAGAAGACATGGAAAAGATGTGGAATCATCCTATTGTTAGTAAAGAGTGGAGCAAATCTGGGGAGAAACAGGGGAAAAGTGCGATTTTCTCACGATGCCGAGAATAGACCTTATCTTTCTCGGGTAGAGTTAAGGGTAAGATTAAATAATATGGATCTGCAAAATATATATTTTCTTGCATGTATTTATCGTAACTGGATATTTTGAATGCTTCCCCTGTTGCTATGTTCTTCTGCTACCCCCTCCCCCTTCATCTTCTTTGTTACTGATCACCATTTTCCGCTTCATTGGTTATCTATAAGACAACTAAGAAAGCATAATTTATTTTCCATGACCAGTTGACAACTAAGAAAGCATAATTTATTTCATTGGTGAGTAAATAATTTTGAATGTTATGTCTGAAGATATGAAGAAATTTACAACGTCCAACCTTGGACATTTGAACAAGCCATCCATTCAAGTGAGTCCTGAATGAGTGGTGCCTTTGTGTTTCTGATAGCTGAGGTGTCACCCCTGAGTTTTATCCTCTAATGGCAATTTGTTTTGCAGGCATTGATCCATGGGCTGAATAGGCATTATTACTCAATAGCCATTAATTATAGGAAGAATGAACTTGAGGAGAAAATGCTACTGAACCTGCACAAGAAGAAGTGGACTGATGGCTTGACACTGCAACGATTTGATACCCATTCCAAGACCAATGAGCAGACTGTTCAGGTAAGTGAAGTTTTTTGTGAGGCCAAGAGTTTCATTGTCTTGTGTGTGTGTTGTATTTGGCACCTTTGCATTAAGGTGCTGAGGCTACACATTTTTTGTTTTTTTAACCTCAATTTTGAAAGATTTTTATCGTGGATTGTTGTGTTGCCTTTTGTACCTGAGAGTCAAGGTCCATAGAATGTTGCTATCCTGCATAGATGCATAGGATCTGATGCTGAATGCCCTAGAATCAAAACAATAATATGGGAATGGTAATACAATCCAGTATTGAGATAGAAGTCCTTCAAGTGTTGCCTGTAGATTGCTTCAAGGGGTTAATCTAGTTTGTTTTACCCGATCCACCCGCATCATGGCATCCACTAGGCAGTCTTCCTACCACATCACGTAGCGGTAGTACATCACATGGCTCTGTTTCAGCTGGTATGTATGAACTTTGCTTGATATTTTCCACTTGAGCAGGTAACTATAGTTGCATGAATGATGAATTAGTGTACCCTTGGTATGATCTTTTAGATAACTATCGCAATATGTGCCTACTTCTAGTTATATATAATATCCGCACTGTACACATGCAATTTGTTTTTGCTCAGATGAATAAAAATCTTGAAGTGAACATTGTCAAATTCAATAATACCCCATGTAAGTCCAGAGGCTTTGCATTTGCTTCATCTCTAATTTTTAGCCCTCTCTTGTGCATTTTGTGGAGATGTCTCAATTTGGTGCTCTGTTGGGTTATGATTAGGAATAGAATAGAAATGTAATTCACCCGGTTTAGTAGAACAGATCTCTCTCTCTCTCTCTCTCTCTCCTCATTTTATGCAATTCTCAGGTGATAGGAAATGTGAGAACAGTTCAAGCATTTGCAGGAGAAGAAAAGGCAGTGAGATTGTATAGAGCAGCACTCTTGGACACTTACAAGTATGGGAGGAAAGCAGGACTAGCCAAGGGACTGGGGCTTGGCACCTTGCACTGTGTCCTTTTTCTTTCATGGTCATTGCTTGTTTGGTATACGAGCATTGTTGTTCATAAGAACATTGCCAATGGAGGAGATTCTTTCACTACCATGCTCAATGTTGTCATTGCCGGACTGTAAGTCTTTGCCCCTTTCTCTTTATTCAAGCAATTTTTTGAATTAGTCCGTTGTGCCTCTTATTGTATTTCGATGAATCTATGAGTCGGTCCATTGAAATTGGAAGGTAGCATATGAACAAGTCCTTCGTTACTTCTGGTGCCTACAGATACGACGGCGTTTCAAAAACGTCGCTAAATATTGTTGGTGACGTCAGCGTGTGTGTGGTGGGACATTTGGCGGCGTTTTAAAAAACGCTGCCTGTACTAATATCACGACGTTTTTAAAACGTCGCAAAGCTACAGCGACGGCCGCAGCTTCGACGTTTGGTACTAAACGCCACAAAAGGAATTAGGGGCGTTTTTGATACATATGGCGGCGTTAAACGCCGCTAAAAGTGCGATTTCCAGCAGTGTATATAATAAAATAAATATTCATTTTAATACAAAAATAATGATTAAATTGGAGAAACAAATTCATTTAAGATTTTAAAAAAATTCTAATTATTTATTTTGATAATGTTAGTCATATCGTTCTATAAAAGTGTTACTTAAATAAATATCTACAATAATTTTATTCAATTATTTATGTGTATTTCAATAATTTTATCCTTATCATACTATAAAAATGTAACTGAAATAAATATATATAATGATTTTGTATAATATTAAATTATAACACAGTAAAGTGAACACTCATTTTGACATTAATAATAGTTAAATTGAAAGAGAAATTAGTAATGTGGGGACATAATTTTTGAATGACAACACGTGGTCGAGGTGTCACCGAAGTGCCAGCCGAGGTGCCACATGTCCTGATCATGACGCCGAGATCATCTCGGCTAGGTCGAGGTTATTTGCGAAGATACCCAAATCTGGGATAAGCGGATAAGGGACAAGAGTCCTAAAATGAAAGAGAACTTCAGTTTGGATAAAGATAAGACTCTTAGAGAGTTTATCCCAATCCTATTGGGAGTCCAAGATTAGCAGTAATCCTAAGTCCATTGAAGCTAAGCTTCTATTGGGACTAGGTTTGTGTTGGCTATAAAAGAGAGGCATCCTCATGGGTCTAAGGTATACTTTTTATGTTCTAAATAGTGAGTTTAGCTCTTTTGCTATCTTTGAGAGATAACTGACTTGATTGTCGGAGTGCCCCCGGGTGGACGGACCACCTTCGGAATCTCTTTTTTTTGTGACAGGTCGTTCGAGCTTGATCTATTCTGCCTGTGTTCTCTAGCTGAGTGCTTGATTGGCAGTGTGGTCAGAAATTGACACACACAATTTGGCACCGTCTGTGGGAAAGAAAGGAGAATAGATGGCCAACGACGGACAGAAAGAGAAGGTTGGGAACGACACCCCTACTGAGAGTGGGAAACATATTGACCTTGACGTCGAAAAAGACAACTGCAATGAAGAGACTCGTGATAAGAATCACGGAGGAAAGGACATCGGCCAGGAGGGCGGCATACTGAAGAAATCGGACCGGAGCGGGTATTACAACGAGGATGACCTCCAGGTATGGAAAGATAGATGCCTGCAGAGGGATAACGAGATGAAGGGAATGGTGGACAAATTGGTGGACTTGCAAACGGTCATCAATTTCATGATGCAGAACAACGTCATGAAGCCACCGTTCCCGCTACAAGATACGCTAATTCCAGTGGCCAAGAAAGGTGCCCAGAAAGGGGGGCAGAAAACAGTTCCTGCAGTCCCTCAGCATGGCGAGACCAATGGACATTCTCACCGGCCCTCACGGGAGGTCAGGCATGGATAATCCCAAAAGACACATCTAACAAAAGAAACCTGCACCAAAGAACATCGGGATGTTCAAGGGAAGGAACTCTGTCTCGACACGACCAATGGAGGGGGGTCCAAAAGGACTCACAATGACACTGGAAGTAGTGCACCAAAGAGGCTGAAATCCAGAGATAGCCGAACTTCTGGATGAACCAAGGAGGATCTGAGAGACTACCTCTAGAGAAAATGACAAGATGCTGAGGTGACTTCCCCGGTCAAGCCAAGAACACCGTTTTCGGTGGAATTGGATAAATTCGAAGCCCCGAAGAGGTTTCACATGCCGAGGTTCCAGATATACGATGGTAAGTTGGACCCGAACTTTCACGTCGACTTGTACCTGAACTCGATGGCATTATACACCAGGAACGAGCCATTGCTTTGCAAGGTGTTCCCCTCGTCCTTTGGGGAAATCGCATCAGACTGGTTTCACAAGTTGCCGAAAGGAACTGTGAGCTTGGGAGGGCCTGGCCGAGATGTTCGTGGCCAAGTTTGTGACAAACAAACTACAGCCGTTAAGGGTGGACTCCCTGATGGCTCTGAGAATCAGTGAAGATTAAAGCCTTAGGGCTTATGCCAAGAGATATTACGAGGTGTTCAACCGAATACCAGGATGCAACCAAGAGGTGGCGGTTATGTCCTTTAAGAATGGCCTGAAAGACGACTGTCTGCTACAAAAATCACTGGCAAAGACACTGCCAAAGAGCATGGAGGAACTCATGGCCAGAATTGAGAAGTATGCAAGGGCCGAGGAAGACGCGCGAGGCAGAGGGCTGGAGAATGATCCTTGAGAGTTAGAATTTACAAGCTAAGGTTGATTTAACACTTGTTGAAATTTTAAGAAAAATTTACAAGTTGAAGTTAAACCGAGAACATGTTTAACACTTGTTGAAATTTTAAAAATTTACAAGTTGAAGTTAAACCGAAGTCATGTTTAACACTTGTTGAAATTTTTAAGAAAAAATTACAAGTTGAAGTTAAACCGAGGACATATTTAACACTTGTTGAAATTTTAAGAAAAATTTACAAGTTGAAGTTAAACTGAGGTCATGTTTAACACTTGTTGAAATTTTAAGAAAAATTTACAAGTTGAAGTTAAACCGATGACATGTTTAACACTCGTTGAAATTTTAAGAAAAATTTACAAGCTGAAGTTAAACCGGGGTCATGATTAAAGGAATGAATGATATAGGTTCCATCACTTCAAGATGCCGAGGTAATAGAACCTAGGGGGCAGTTGTGGGGACATAATTTTTGAATGACAACACATGGCCAAGGTGTCACCGAAATGCCAGCCCAGGTGCCACGTGTCCTAGTCATGACGCCGAGATCATCTCGGCTAGGTCAAGGTTATTTGCGAAGATACTGAAATCCGGGATAAGCGGATAAGGGACAAGAGTCCTAGAATGAAAGAGGACTTCAGTTTGGATAAAAATAAGACTCTTAGAGAGTTTATCCCAATCCTACTGGGAGTCCAAGATTAGCAGTAATCCTAAGTCCATTGAAGCTAGGCTTCTATTGGGACTAGGTTTGTGTTGGCTATAAAAGAGAGGCATCCTCATGGGTCTAAGGTATGCTTTTTATGTTCTGAATAGTGAGTTAAGCTCTTTTGCGATCTTTGAGAGATA